CTATATGGACAGGTGGGCTATGTTTGTGGCAGCAGGAAACGGCCCTGTTCTGTTACAGCACTAGCTAGAACACAATAAAATCAAATTGTGAAGAAACACAGTATCTTGTTAGAAATTAAGTCAACTTAAAAAATTCACAGATTAAAAAAATTTTATTCTATAAATTTCAAACAAGTACAAAAATAGAGAAAGAGTATAATAAACTCCCAAGTGCCCATCATCCAACATTAACAATTATCAACTTTAGGCTAATCTTGTTTCATCTATACCCTTCAACCACTTCCTTTGTTTTCTGCATTATTTTGAAACAAATCTCAGACATCAAATCATTTCATCCATAAATAACTCAGTATGTCTAAAAGATACAGCCTCTTTAACAACAAAAAGAGCCACAATGCCATTATCACACCTAACAAAGTCCCAATTATTTTTCGATACATGAAATAGCCTGTATTTAAGCATATATCTCATAAATGTTATCTTTTTTTTTTTTTTTACAATATTGAATGAGAATCCAACTGGGATGCAAACATTGAGAATGTTGATATATCTTCTCAGTTTCCTGATTTATAGGTTACCCATTCATCTCTTGTTGGTTTCTTTCCTTGCAATTTATTTGTTATAGAAATCATTTGTAGAGTTTTCCATAGTCTGGATTTTGCTGATTGTATCTCTGTAATGTAGTTTAACATTTTCCTCTGTCATCTGTAAATTGGTAATTATATCCAGAGGCTTTATCAAATTCATATTCATTTTTATTGTTTTCAGACAAGAGTCTGAAATAGGCAGTGTCAAATTCTTTCTTCAGGGACATATAATATTTCATCACCTCTTTTTTGGATGTTAGCAGTTGTTGATATTTATTGCCTATATATATTAATTCATTAGAATGTTGCAAAATGATGATCGAATTACGCCAATCTTTTTTCATTGTTAACTGGAATATATCAATGAAGACAAACTTTTTATCACTTTTTATTTGATTATGTCAGTACAGTTGGTATTGGAAAGTCCCTTTATTTGCAGTTCTGAAACTGATGATTAGCATCCTTTAACACTATTAAATTCAGTTTTTAAAAGCATCATTCTGAATTCATAGATTTGAAGACATTTTATGTCTTTTTCTCTATTACAGCTCAATAATAGTCAAATTTTCCATCTTTGGAAAGTGAGAGACTCTCCAAGTTGACTCCTGAGTTCCTTTTTTCTTTTGAAATGGATCTCCCTCTGTCACTCAGGCTGGAGTGCAGTGGTGAGATCTCGGATTACTGCAACCTCCGCTTCCCAGGTTCAAGCGATTCTTCTGCTTCAGCCTCCTGAGTAGCTGGGATTACAGGCACCCGCCACCATGCCCAGCTAATTTTTGTATTTTTAGTAGAGATGGGGTTTTACCATGTTGGCCAGGCTGGTCTCGAACTCCTGACCTCAAGTCCTCACTGTGATTACAGGCATGAGCCACCGTGCTTGGCCTCCTGAGTTCTTTTAACACAACTCTAACAGTCTTGCTACCTGCTATAGCAAGGTACAACAAGCTCATCTTGTACATTTCCTGTCTCAGATCTATTTCCTTTTAGTGGTAAGTGGTATTTAGAGGCCACAATCTGGGCCCTAGGGGTAGGGTTCGTAGATTTTGATGTGTATGAATCATACTTGGAGTTTCTGTGTTTTGTTTTACAGTGGTTCCCATTTGACTAAGAGTGAAATCCTTTCAATGACACACTAAGCCCTACATAAGCTGCATGCCTTGCTTCCTTTCTCACTATGCATGCTCCTTCTTATGGGCCACTGCTATGGAAATGCACTTTTCCCAGATATATGCACAGATCAATCTCTCACCCTCTGTTAGGTGAGAGATTGAGCTACGCACACATGTAAATCTCTGCTTAATTAATCTCACCTTTTCATTGAAGCCTATTCTGTCAACCCCATTTACTTCAATTGCCTCTTAGATGAGAGAATCCCCATTTGAAACTGCAATACTAATTATCTCCCCAAACCCACTCCCAATATCTCATATTCTATTTTTTGTGTCACTTCTCATTTTTTAACATAGTTTATAATTTATTTATTATATAATGTCCTTCTCGTCTTCCTACAATATAAGTTCCACAAGAGCAGAGGTTTTTGTTTGGTTCACTACTGTATCTTTCGTGCCTAGGATAGTACCTATACATGGTAGGCATTCAGGATATTTGTTCAATGAACAAATGAATGCAAACCTTAGTATATTTCTGAATCATCACACACTTAGTCTATCAGTATGGTTCAATCTCCTGAGGAACAGATTGAATTGAAAGCAAACAACATCCTTCAAGAAAGTGAGCTATATCAATATGTGGGGACAAGTCCATGAATTTCAAAACTATCCTAATATTTCTGGGCATGTGGCCAAACTGAACAATGTTTGTCTCCCTCTCTCCCTCCCTTCCTTCCTTTGTTTTTCTCTCCCTTCCTCCCTTTCTCTCCTTCTCTTTCTTTCTCTTGAGACGGGGTCTTGCTGTGCCTAGGCTGGTCTTAAACTCCTGGGCTCAAGCGATTCTACTGCCTCAGCCTTCCGAGTAGCGGGGATTACAGGCGTGCCACCACGCCTGGCTGCTTTTTTCTTTTTTTTTAAGGGCTAGTCAATGTACATTCACTTTTGAAAAAGAAATGTAGCATAAACTCAGAATCTCCATCAGCAATGAAATTCAAGTCAGAATTAAGATATATCTCAAAGAGTATACCTCACTATTGCTCCAGAGTAGTTTAGTGTGTTTAATGCTAATGTTCTCATTGAAGCAATTAAACTAATGAACTATTAGCAACAATTCCCAAACTGTACTTTTGTTAGTTTTTATTTTATTTATTTTGTTTTTTGAGACAGAGTCTTGCTCTGTCACCCAGGCTGGAGTGCAGTGGCGTGATCTTGGCTCACTGCAACATCCGCCTCCTGGGTTAAAGCGATTCTCCTGCCTCAGCCTCCCAAGTAGCTGGGATTACAGGCTCATGCCACCATGCCAGGCTAATTTTCGTATTTTTAGTAGAGATGGGGTTTCACCATGTTGGCCAAGCTGATCTCGAACTCCTGACCTCAAGTGATCTGCCCGCCTTGGCCTCCCAAAGTGCTGGGATTACAGGCGTGAGTCACCATGCCTGGCCTTAATTCAACTACTTTTATACAAAAGTACAGGTTGCGGCTGGGTGCAGTGGCTCACACCTGTAATCCCAGGACTTTGGGAGCCTGAGGCGGTCAGATCACGAGGTCATGGTGAAACCCTGTCTCTATTAAAACTACAAAAATTGGTTGGCCATAGTGGTGTGCGCCTGTAGTCCCAGCTACTTGGGAGGCTGAGGCAGGAGAATCGCTTGAACCTAGGAAGCAGAGGTTGCAGTGAGTTGAGATGGCACCACTGCACTCCAGCCTGGCAACAGAGCACGTCTGTTTCCAAAAAAAAAAAAAAAAAAGTAGTTGATTAAAATTATTTAGTATAGGTGTGGCTACTCACATCAATAATCACAGCTACTCAGGAGGCTGAGGCAGGAGGACCACTTGAGGTCAGGAATTCAAGAACAGCTTGGGCTACAGAGTGAGCTCTCATTGCTTTAAAAAAAAAAAAAAAAAAAAAGGCAGCTTGGTGAGGAGACTCACACTTGTAATCTCAGCACTTTTGGAGGCCAAGCTGGAAGGATCACTTGAGGTCAGGAGTTTAAGAGCAGCCTGGGCAACACAGTGACACCCCATCCCTACAGAAAGTAATACAAATCAGCTGAGCTTGGTGGCACATGCTGAAGGATCTCCTGGTTATTTGGGAGGCTGAGTGGGAGGATCCCTTGAGCCCAAGAGTTCAAGGTGGCAGTGAGCTATGATTAGGCACTGCATTCCAGCCTGGGTGACAGAGTGAGACCTTGTCTCTAAAATAATTAATGACGATAACAATGATAATGTTATTTGGCCTGTATTTTTGTTACTGCTCATATCCATCTTTTTTAATGCACTAAATGTGTTTTTATTGATGGTATGGCCTCCAGTTATAAAAAATATGGATATAAGCCTAATAAAGACACAGTGCAAATAACTTCAAATAACTTTTTCTTTTTTTTTGAGAAAGGGTCTCACTGTTGCCCAGCTGGAGTGCAGTGACACAATCATAGCTCACTGTAGTCTTGACCTCCTGGGCTCAAGCAATCCTCCCATCTCAGCTGCCACATAGCCAGATCCTCCAAGTAACCCAGTTACTTTTTAACACGTTGTAGAGATGGTCTTGCTGTGTTGCCCACTGGTCTCAAATTCCTGGCCTCAAGCGATCTTCCCACGTTGGCCTCCCAAAGTACTGGGATTACAGGCATGAGCCACTGCACCTGACCTAATAAACTATTTTTGTACAAAGGACAATTTGGGGTTTGTTGCTAATAGTTGGTCACTTTAACTGCATCAATAAGAACACAGGCATTAAACACACTAAAATTCTCTAGGGCAATAGCAAGGTGTGTTCTTTGGGGTATATCTCAATTCTGACTTTTGAATCTCATCATTTATAGTGATTCTGGGCTTACATTATACTTCGTTTTGGGGTATTCAAAATATGAATTTTGGGGGTATACAGTCAGGACACAACAGCTTCTGACTTTTCTCATTTCTGTCTCTTTTGGATAATTTAAATCATGCCACCAGTTCCACCCTAAAAAACATGTTGAACTCCATTCCATTCGGTATTTTATGGATGCCAACACATTGTCCTAGGCACCAAGTTTAAACAGAGATTAAAGGGAAGTCTCTGCTTTAGAAGAACTGACACTCCAGGTCCAGAAGGGAGAAACCAATAATCACATGTTACATGGCTCATTCCATAGTATAATTGGAGAGGGGCTTATTCTACCTTGTTTTCAGCAGCACGTTTCTATGGCACATCTGATCCTCTGTCATTCACTGTGACAATTTTCCAGCCCTCTCCTTTTTTTTTTTTCCCTTCTCTGATCAGCTTGGGATTACAAGGTCAATACAGTAATTTTAGCACTTTTACCTGCATCCTCAATACTCTTGGCCCATTATTGCTGTGCTCCTCCTGGTCAGTTTATCTCTGATTTTGGATTAATCCAGTCTTATCTTTTTGCTCCCAAGGAGATAAGCACCACACAATACTGAATATGCTGATTATCTTTGTTAAAATTAGTGGTTTTCAGCCTCTGCTGATACTTTTATCAATGCTAGGCAAGTTTATAACTTGTCCATGGTCAGCTCCATTTTCTCCAAATCTGCAGGGTCCGATGAAAAAGCCTTATCATACCTCCTAAATTCCTCATCTTATTCTCTCCTGAAGATCACTTTGTTTGTTACTTTGCAAAGTCATGATCAGACACTAACTTCTTCAGTTTTCATGTTGACTAATGGTCTGTATTAAATCCAAGGCAATTTCCAGCAACTTTTGCTTGGTTCTCATCCTTCTTTTTCTTGGCTCATTTCATTCCAGGCATCCTTGGTTTTCTACTTAGTTTCTGTTCCTAACAAATATGGCACTTAAACTTGGCAGCAGATTCCTGTGTCCTGATTTTTGTCCCTTGGCACAAATTATTCTCTAGGATTTGAATAAACCTGGAATGTCCTAATCCTGAAAGGCCACAGGGTTCAACTCTTGGACACCTTTTTTTCTCTATTGGTGATCTCATCTAATATTATGGCTTTAAATATGCCTTCCATATGTCGATGACTCCCAATTTTATTTCAGTCAGATCTCTCCTCTGAACTGTGGACCTCTATAACTACTCAAAAATCCCAATTTGAATATCATGTGCTATCTTAAACTTAACATGTTCAAAATCAAGCTAACAAGAGAACATTTTTGGAAGTGATGGATATAGTCATTATCTTGTTAATGGTTTCATGAGTGTATTCCTATGAAAAAAACTCATCAAATTGCATACTTTTTAAATGTACACATTTTTGTACATCAGTTATATCCACTACAGGAGGTAAGGACAAAACAATTTCCTGATCTCAGTGAAGTGATGCACATTTGTAAATTATCCCCTTCAAATGACAGATCTTTTGCATATTCTGAAGTGCCTTTTCCATTGCTCTTTTGAAGAGAACTATAATAAATGAAGTAACAAGATAAAGTTCTCAAATAGGTTGGACTGGACTGTACTTGATTTGGGATTCTGATTAAACCCTCGTAACTCTGATAAACTCAGCTACATGGCATGCTGAGACCTCAGCAGTGGGGAGACCAGGACTTATCAGAGTAAGACAAGGAGTCTAGTTCTCATACTGAAAAGGTATCCTCTTCTGCCCCAAGATGGTCTCTAATGATGTTATTCTACAGGGTGGAGTAAGATCAGAGGGAGTGGTAATATTCAGTTAAGTCATGCATATTAATATATACTTATAACTAAGTACTATGTTATAAGTATTGTTTGGATCCAGAACCAAGTTTTTGGAAAGGTAGGGAGGGTCCTACTCCCAGAAAAGGACTAGCAAAAGATAAGCAGTTTATTCTAGTAGGCTGAAATTCAAAGAAAGGCTCTAATCCCAACTGGGGAACTGTTACAAAAACCATGAAAACAGCTAAAAGCTCTTTCATACACACTGGGCAGTGAGGATTGATGTGTTAGTTCACAGGACACTTGACTGGGGAGCCAAGCACAGTGGATATTGGGTTTCCGGCAATAGAACTAATTTTAGAAAGCACCAAATGGTAGGTTTGAGCTTACTATATTTTAAGATTACCTGGAAGCCTGGTGTAAGGCAGAAGGAAAATTCCTGTTGGCTGAAGTCACTAAAGTCAGACACATGTAAATTGCCTTTGAACTTCTGAAGCCAATCAGAATCAAGGATATCCCAGTTTAATTATTATAGTCAAGCTCCTTAGGTCCTTAAGGATTTTTTTTTTTTAGCCTGGCCTGTTGCTCACGATAGAGCATAGAGGTGCAATCATGGCTGATTGTAGCTTCAGTTTCCTAGGTTCAAGTGATTCTATCTCAGCCTCCTGAGTAGCTGGAACAAGTGCACATCACCACACCCAGTTAGTTCTCTTATTTGTAGAGATGGCATCTTGCTGTTTCCAGGCTGGTCTCAAGCAACCCTTCCTAAGTGCTGGGATTACAGGCATGAGCCACTGCACCTGGTCCCAAGCAGCAGATATGCTCTGGAGGGTGAACTTATGCAACTGATCTTAACCAATATTGCCTGAGTTTTTAGGAGGCTATTACAGACTAACAGCCTCCTGTGTGATTAGAAATTGCCATCAAGGAGTCGGTAACCAAAACTGAGCTTTCAAGTTCAATTCCATTCAAGTTAAACCTTTTTGGATCTGACTCTAATTACAGGATATTCTTACATTTCTAACTCCCTTGCTCAAGAATCTTAAGGGTATTTATAACATGTTTTCTGTCCCACACACATCCACCCTATTGGGACCCAAATCCTCAGTATTTGTCTCTCAGACTCTGAACCACACTGTCTTTGCTCAGTATTTCTTGGGCCTATTTTCCCAACATCTGTGCTGGTTTAAACTCAAATCCACTTGTTCTATTTTCAAGAATTTTTCATAGCTTGACTTTTCCTTGGCATCCTGTGCCACTATTGACAAAATGGTGTTTTATTTCAGGAGTCTTGGCAGAGCCTAGCACAGGCCAGTGTATATAAATGTGGAGTACTAATTTTGATATCAACTAAGAAAATGTGACATATTACAAGATCTATTGGGAGGCAAGGGAGTTAGAAGGAGCTACAGAAAAAGAAGTCAGAGGGCTCGAAAGCAAATAGTCTATTTCACAACTTTGTCTTGGTTGCCAGCTTTGACAAAAGGAAAATGGCACTCTTCCCTGAAAACTGTGGAATATGAATAGTCTTTTACCACATATTCTATAACAGTAAGTGCCTGGCCCTATTCTAGGCACTTTTGAAGTAATGAAACACAGATCTTAAAATTTTATGCAGAAGTTCTGGAAGGGGGAGAAAAACAATGATTAATAGTTTTATGTCTAGCAGGCAAGGGTTATTGGAGATCAAGGGTATAAATGCAAACACTGCTTTCACTGCCATCTTACACACACTACCTTCATAGTGAAGGTGTATTTTCTATCTCCAAATGTAATGTTACATGCCTAAGGCTTCTCTCTCATTTTATTTGGTAGTATCAGATAGTATTATGTAACCCATCTTGCCAAACGACCTCTTCCTTCCTAGATTTTAGCAAGCCTGAATGTCTTTACCAGATTCTTGTTTAATCAGTGAGCTTCCCTCATGACCATAGTTAATAAACTGCTATTATTGTTCTATTGTACTCTTCTTATTTTCTGTGTCTCATTCCCCCACTTCTCAACTTAAGCATCCGGGCTTTCAAAATTACAGTCACATTGAAACTAAATATTCCATGATTTGCTTAGTAACAATCATTTTTAATTCCTGTCTCTCCACTCTTAACACTGATCCAAAAACCCTTACATTGTACCTTGCACAAACCCGAAACGTTCAAAGTAATTTGATTACAAGGCTGGTTAGTGGATTTTCCATTTAATGCCCGCCATGTTATTTCAGGACCTATTTAAAATAATTAAAAACAACATAATCCAAAATTACATGTTTTATTTTCGTGTTTGTAAAACGAAGAGCTTTTTTTCTGGATGGTTTTCTTATCAGCTTTTCATACAACAGTCAAGTAAACCTCGTGGCACTAGCCCTAGAAAAGGAAAAACATGAGATTCTTACAAGACTACCAACATTACAACAGCTTATGTAAAAGCATTAAAAAAAAGTATTGTCCTTATAATGGTCCATCTCAGAAGCCAGATCCGTAAAAGTTTTTTTTTTCAACAGAAGTTCAGGTTCGGGATAAGATCATCACAGATAAGACCAAGGACACAATATTCACTAATCGCTAAGCAAACAGAAAAACTCCACTTACAGAAATCGTTGCAACTTTGGAACTTCCAAGACAATCTGGCCTCTTATCAATGGGCAGACAGCGACCCTCACTGTTGGCAGAAAAAAAAAAAAAAACAACCCGGGATTTTATAACGGAACTGTTATAAACTTTTACGGATCTTTTATAACAGAACTGTTATAAAATCCCGTCAACAAAATTTACTCCACTTCTGAATTATTGGTCTTAATCTCAGAAGCCGAATCCGCATTTATTTTTCTTCAGGTTATCAGCTTCGGGATAGGTTTCATCATTGATTAGACCAATCAGACCTTGTATATGTACACATTAACACATTAAACTGCACTTCTGTGACACTGACCATAAGCCAAGGTAAAGGTAAAAGGCAAGTATTATAGTACAAATACTACAGAACTTTCAAGCCATACAACCTACTTCAAAATGAAGCTGCTAGTCAGTGACATCCGACATTCATTATCTTCACTGGCTGATCGTCCACACCCAGAATGCTGTTTAATGACAAAAAAATTTGATTTAGTCTAGGTGTGGATTAAATACTATGCTCTATCATAAAGTACTAAAACAACACATACCCATGAAGAGTGTCAGGTTTAACCAAGCGGTTTTCCATTAAATATTCTCCCGCATATTCTGGAATTCTTTCATGTATCTAACAAAAAAAAGTAAGTATCAAACGATGCAACAGTTACTATTCCTGTAAATCAACAGGTTTACTCCTTTAGTTTGGTAACTAAGCTTAACAGCTCTTACCTTTGCATCTTCAGAGCTGCTCTGCTGGGCCATGACAGCGCCATTGTTCCTGCGGGAAACCGATATTTAAGTATTCTCGCAGAAACGTCACACTCCAAGGTGTTTTTCCACACAAAACCTTTCCCCTTCATTAATCCGAATTGCACACAACGCCGCCTTCGAACAGCTCAGTCTCAATGCAGGGTTGAGGCTGCCCGTTTTAAAACAACGCCGACGGAAGGTCTTCGCCATTTTAGTAAAGGCCCCTTGCTCTTAAAACTAACCCTCTGCCCCAATTAAGTGTGGTTTTTCCGCCGCCGTTCAGGCACATGCCAGAGGCCAGCAAGCGCGGCACCCGTGGCCGATCAGCGTTCTCCTCACGCCAAAACTCGGAGCCTGTGGCCGTCACGACTCAATCTCAGTACATGTGGCGGTCGGGCTGCACATTTCCCACGTGCAAGCTTTCAACTCTCAGCACTCTAAGCTCTACACTAAGATGGTTTCACACTATGAAAACTCTACTCGGCCTGCACCTCCACCTTTTGCTCCAGTACTCGCCCGCAACACCGACGCTTACCTACCACACGACCAAACGATCACGAAGGCCTACGTAAAAGACCGAGACGCGCAGCCAGTAGCTCCTTATATAGCCTCCCCAGTCAGAACGAGGCTGCCCCGCCCTCTCACACCTATTGGACATGGAAGTAGACAGGGGTGTGGCCGCTAATTAGCGGGAGCGCGCGCGGAAGCTCTTCCGAGGCCCGTCCCGCGTTGTGGCGC